TATGCAATTTAACTTAATTCTTATAAATTCTTTAACTTTAACAACATACGTCTAGGACGGTTGAAATATTTTATGAAGGTTATTTTTTTAAATATTTTAGACAGAACTGTAGCCAGAAACTCAATCCAAGACATACTTTCAGATAAAATGCTATATTGACTATACTTTTGTTTACCACTTAGTCATGTTAAGACATATTAATAAAGAATTGACCTTTATACACATGTAGTCATAGATTGATTTTATGTACAATTGGGCGCCAACCTCTCTATTCATCCTTTTTTTTAAGCATGGGTTTAGAATATTTTACTAAAATCATATAAAAATAAATTAAAGCAGTCAATTTTTTTTTTGCAATTGAGCCCATTTAATTTATTGATTTTAGCTTTATATATTTTTTATAATTTTATTTTCTTTTATTTTATTTTAGTTAATATTATTTTATTTTTATTTATATTCTCTTATTTTATTTTATTTTATCTTAATTTTTTTTTTTATTTTATTTTTTTATCTTATTTTAGTTTTATTTAATTTATATAATTTCAATCTATTTAATTTAAATTTATATTATTTCATTTTTTTATATTATTTTAAATTTTTTTATTTTATTATTAATATTTGTTTTTTTTTATTTATTTATTATATCATTTTTTTTATTATTTTAATTTATACTATTTTACTAAATTTATTTTAATTTAATTAAATTAATTTAATTTAATTTTTTTATTAAATGTAAATTAATGTGATTAAATTTAAATTAATTTGATTTAATTTAATTTAATTAATTTAATTCATTTTATTTAATTTAATTTAAATTAGTTTATATTATAAACTATTTTAATTTATTTAATTTATATAATCTTATTACACTTTGATTTTCTTTTTTTTTTTATTTAATCAAAATAAGATTTCTTATTTCGTTTTAGTTTATTTAATTTAATTTTATTTAATTTCATTTTATATTATTTTTGTTTATATTATTTTCTTTTATTATATATTATTTTATTTAATTCCCGTAGAAACATTAGTCTTGTGGTAGGTTTCTTCGCAGCTTTTTAGGGAATTATGGTAGAAAATTAAGTCTCCTATTTAAACATTTTAGTCACTGTTGGAAAAAAGATGATTAAAGTTCCTCACATCTGCTTTATTACTATCCAGCGTATGCGCGGTGTTGATTGACTTTGTTGGAGTTCACTTTTTTAAGGATCTTGGCCAGCCCCAGAGTCTCTCTTTAAAGTGAATTATAGACTTTCGTGACGGTTCCAGGTAAATTTTAAAATATTAAGTTCATATTTAATAAAATAATGGGCCAATAAGACTAAGTGGATCTTTCAGATCAGATAATTTATCGGAAAATAGTAGGCGGCAGATTTAACAAAAGCTTGACCAATTAAGAAAATGTGACATTACTGACAATCTTTTTGAAGGATTGTAAAGTGTAAATCAATAACAGATGAGAAAAACCGGCTATTATATCACTGATTTAAGCCAGTCATGAATCACTGTTGAAGCATAATATATAGATGCAGACAGTGTTAATTTCAGAGACTGATCAGACTGTAGCTTCAGCAAAAATTTTTTTATTGACATTATAGCCATATCGTATTACTGGGGAAAAATCGTATTACTAGAGAAAAGTCGTATTACTGAGGAAAATACCTTACCACTTTTTAATTCTTAAATATCTTCCAAAGTTAAAGAAGGGTTAATGTATTTATTTATAATGATATAATATATTTAAAGTATCAAATCACTATATGAAGTATTGTTAGTTCACTGTTATTGTTTTGATTATGTTTGTTTCTATATGACAAACCGACATCCACAAAAATTAAAACTCAAACTAAACTAGAAACACTAAATGAATAAATTTTCCGAAATTTTCCGAAATTATTACATCGTAAAATTCCACAAAATATTCTAGGAAAATATTGGAATTTTGGTCATGTCGAATAGTTAATATCTTTGGAGAGAATACTGGGATGAATAAACTGAAGTTCACTGGATGTGAACGAAGTGTGTGCGAGTGTCTGAAATTTCGGGTTTATTTATGTGCTCCGTGTGAACTTTGCTCAATTGCGGAAGCGCAATGTTGACACGTAGCCACTTTGCACGTTAAAGACAGATAACACAAGTTTGTGCGCTCCCAGCGAAATGACGTCAACAGCTTTCATAAGAGGAGATGATAATGATGACAAATCTGTTGGCTAAACACATATTTCAGCCTACATACAAACGTAGACATATATGCGAATATATACGCATTCGGGTACATGTGACATATGTAAATATGTGTGTTTGATGCAAATCTCCACCAAAAGCAAAAAAAACATACTTGAAATTCTTATGCGAAGAATGCGAATCAATGTATACGTATATGCAGACGACTGTACAGACAGGCGGACGAACAGACGGTGGATGGTAGATGGTGAATGTTGGACTTATATACCAAACAAACATTTCCAGCAATAACCATAACGGAGGAGCAACAACAGAATTGCATATTACAACAATTACAATAAATATTTTAGGTTAAATAAATATTTGTCCCAATTCATTCACAACAAGACAACAACAAAAAACATTAAGCCCAGGGGGAAGGGGAAAACAGTATTTCGTAGAGAAATTAAAAAAATATTTCACACCTGCACACCTGCACTCCAAGGTAAACGATGACATTGGAACGCAGCCAAAACGAAGCAAGTTTGCTAAGAAACTGCATCTGAATGAGAGGAAGCGGAAACGAATGGAACTAATTGAATAAAATGCTGCAGTCGGTCACTTGGAGCATCTTCTCAACAGTAATAATTTATCGAAATATATTTATATGTTCACCAATTATTTAATTACTTTCAGCAACATTTATAAAAATTAAATTATTTATAAAAAAAATTGCTTTAACATTGTACTATAAACAGTATCGAAATCTTCTTTCAAGGAGCATATTTTACTGAAATAATAATTTTGACTAGGCAATCAATAAACTGAAAAATAACAAATTCTTTAATAAAAATATACTATATATGCAAAACTAATTAAAGTTATCAACAAACGTTCAGTGAACATTTAGCAACTCAGTGTTTAAGCAGTTTCGAAAAAGCAGTATTAGGTTTTTGGGCGCCCCTCCTCTCTTTAACACACTCAGCGATATCTTCAGTATTAGCATTGACCAGACTCTCGCCTTCGTTAGTACTTCTGGCTGGTTCCAGTTAGACCTTCTTCCATGCACTATTACAAGGAATGGTAGATTCAAAATGGCTTTCTTTGCTTATTTGAGGGGGATTAGTTCCTCTCTCTCCTCTAACTTAACTAATAAACTTGGAAAAAGAAAATGACTTTCACATAACGGAGCGATGGTATTTCACACTACAAACTTAAATTACAAAAAGAAGAATAAATATATATCTATATATATACGCATATATATATATATATATATATTTTCACTCTTTTTAATAAATTCATTAAATGATTAAAATATTACAACTTAGTATATTACAAATTATTTCATAATTTAATTTTATGAATATATTAAAATATAAGGAATTAATGTAATTAGTATTCCAGGACTGGAAATAATGTTTGCATAGGAATACATCAATGAGAATGATTTTAGAAGATATAAGCAATATCAGCTGATTTTTCAATTACAGCATTAGAGCTTGAATGTGTCTCTTTTTTGGGTTCGGCTTAAAAGCAACCTTCACTCATTCTAAATACGGTCAAAAAATTTTCAAAAACGAAATCGATTTATCCAATAATTACTTTTAAGATGGAAGTAAAACAGTAAAATTAGGATGGAAAGGAATTATACCAATTTAAATATAATGAATGGTGAAAGAAAATGAACACCTCAAATCTAGATAATGTAGCGTTATCACAAAGATTGTGCAGAAGGGACTGCAATGTTAGAGCTATTGCAGCAAATGCTTCTACTTCGGTCGTGATTAAGATAAAAATGTATCAATTATCGGGAAGGTGTACACTAGGGTCTGACCATATAATATAAATCATTAGTGGAGATAACGATATAAATGTCAAGATCTCTAACCATCTGAAGAAAAACTCAAGATTTTAAAGTATGCTAATCACAACAAGAAGAAGGTTTATTTAAGGATGAATAATAAATCATTTAGATCGAAAAGAATAATTATATAGTAATCAAAGTAGACATAAATTTAAAGAAACTGACTAGTAAAATTAAAAAATAAAAATTTTTGTTTTTTCTAAAAATTCTAGCGTTAACTTCAAAATTTCTTGTTGTATCAATCTTGGTCGTATTGGACACTAGGACACTTGGACATTAAAATGTAGCATCCAAATAATTATAACAATTAAGTTTGTTATATATATTATATTTCTGTTGATTTGAACACATCTCACATCATCACAAATTTTAAAAATAAGGTGAGTAGGAAATTATTTCAGAGTTGCGTGGTTAGTTGCGTACTCAATACGAGTACAACGGTTTAAATATATATATCAGATTTTTTATTATCAAAATCTATATCCACTTCTTTTTAAACTTTTTTCAAGGAGGCACCATTCTATCCATCCGTGCCAAAAGAATAGGAAAACTATACCTCAATTTTAAACCATATATAAACTTTCATATAAACTAAGTTAAGAAAGAGGTGAGTGAGATTATTAGATTATCTTACACAAATTAATTCCAAAGATTTCATTAAATTATAATAGCATTTCGATTTAAGATTCTTTCTCTATAAAATTTCTTTACACTGGATAAAAATTTCCACATATTAAAATGGAGTGAAGTTAAGGATACGTGTTGTTTCATTATACACTACTATAGATAATGATTCCTTCGACTTCGTAAATTTTTATAATACACATTTCATTTATAAAAATCTTACTATATATCCTTACCTTATGCAAGTTTCTTTGGTTAACAGTACTATATTAATATATAATATTCATTATTTAATAAAATACCAGGTAGGTGAAACTTCAATTAATTATTATTTATTATATATCTTTAATTCAATGAAATCGTAGATTTTTTTTGAAGAGAGTTTCTCTTTTGGTTATCAACGGATATAATGAATGATTGACTGGTGGAAGGAAGCACATACAATATTTAAAAGCAATTACAATGAAAACATATATATACATGTATATATACATATATGAAAATTTATAGTACAAATCTATAATGAAAGTGAGTAGTACATATATGGTATATCGAAATCTTCATATTATGCATATGATTTCTTTTGTATTCCCTAGAAATAACCCCAAAAGAATTACTTTAATTAAAACTCTCAAGTGGATCAAAGTAAATCTGTTGAAATCAATTAAGCATATCACTTGAGATATGTGTAAGAAAATATTAATATATCTGATTTGATGAAAAATTATATTATAACTCATGAATTTCAGATACCTGATGATTTTACAGGATTTATTTAAGCGATCTTTTATGGGATCATTACTTAATTTGTGTTAATTAACTAATTACCATTAGTTTAATTTGATCTTGATAAAAACTTTCTGAAAAATAAATTTAAAATAGATATACGTATATTTGTCAATTGTTTTACTTCGATTTTTATAATATGGTGGTTATCTCGTATAGATTTGCATTTTTAGGTCCTGATATTGCTTATTTGAGAAGACACTTGTTTTAGATTCTGCGACACCAAAAATTGTATGCTTTTCTAATACCATGATATTTACTATATTATAATTGTCTACTGTTTTTATAAATATTTGATTTGAAAAAAAATTTCTTGGCTTTAAAATTCAATCCATCCGATGAAGAATAATGTAGGAGATGCAATTTCAAACTCACCAGTGATGAAATAATGAGTATACTAGTATTAATTCAGTTACGATTAACTCTAACCACAATAAAGCAATATTATTGTCTATTAACAAACTAGTCAATTTACCAGTTCCAGAACTCTAAAATCGAACACGTATAAAGTAGGTTACGAAGAACCTAGTATTATAGACTGTCAAACTAGTAAAAAATTTACATTGATTTTAGTGTAATATGTTAGCAATACTACACGATTAAGTCATTACGAGTATGAAGTTTAAAATTAATCTTTATAATCTTTACATATATTGACGACATTGATGTGGAATGTAGAACGATATGAAGTCAAGAACTCTCTAAATATCTGAAGAAAAACTAAAATCAGATTGAGGTTTTAAAATATTTTAATCACACAAGAAGAAGGTTTATTTAAGGATAAATAATAAATCATTTAGATCGAAAAAAATAATTATATAGTAATCAAAGTAGACATAAATTTAAAGAAACTGACTAGTAAAATTAAAAAATAAAAATTTTTGTTTTTTCTAAAAATTCTAGCGTTAACTTCAAAATTTCTTGTTGTACCAATCTTGGTCGTATTGGACTCTTGGACACTTGGACTTTAAAATGTAGCATCCAAATAATTATAACAATTAAGTTTGTTATATATATATTATATTTCTGTTGATTTGAACACATCTCACATCATCACAAATTTTAAAAATAAGGTGAGTAGGAAACTTATTTCACATTTGCATGGTTAGTTGCGTACTCAATACGAGTACAACGATTTAAATATATATATCAGATTTTTTATTATAATATTAGAAGGACTAACTAAAACGAAAACTATTAGAACTATTATGCTTTTAACCTTATCTATATCCACTTCTTTTTAAACTTTTTTTAAGGAGGCACCACCCAATCCATCCGTGGCAGAACAATAGGAAAACTATGTCTCAATTTTTAACCATATATAAACTTTCATATAAACTAAGTTAAGAAAGAGGTGAGTGAGATTATTAGATTATCTTACACAAATTAATTCCAAAGATTTCATTAAATTATAATAACATTTCGATTTAAGATTCTTTCTCTATAAAATTTCTTTACACTGGATAAAAATTTCCACATATTAAAATGGAGTGAAGTTAAGGATACGTGTTGTTTCATTATACACTACTATAGATAATGATTCCTTCGACTTCGTAAATTTTTATAATACACATTTCATTTATAAAAATCTTACTATATATCCTTATCTTATGCAAGTTGCTTTGGTTAACAGTACTATATTAATGTATAATATTCATTATTTAATAAAAGACCAGGTAGGTGAAAATTCAATTAATTATTATTTATTATATATCTTTAATTCAATGAAATCGTAGATTTTTTTTGAAGAGAGTTTCTCTTTTGGTTATCAACGGATATAATGAATGATTGACTGGTGGAAGGAAGCACATACAATATTTAAAAGCAATTACAATGAAAACATATATATACATGTATATATACATGTATGAAAATTTATAGTACAAATCTATAATGAAAGTGAGTAGTACATATATGGTATATCGAAATCTTCATATTATGCATATGATTTCTTTTGTATTTTCTAGAAATAACCCCAAAAGAATTACTTTAATTAAAACTCTCAAGTGGATCAAAGTAAATCTGTTGAAATCAATTAAGCATATCACTTGAGATATGTGTAAGAAAATATTAATATATCTGATTTGATGAAAAATTATATTATAACTTATGAATTTCAGATACCTGATGATTTTACAGAATTTATTGAAGCGATCTTTTATGGGATCATTACTTAATTTGTGTTAATTAACTAATTACCATTAGTTTAATTTGATCTTGATAAAAACTTTCTGAAAAATAAATTTAAAATAGATATACGTATATTTGTCAATTGTTTTACTTTGATTTTTATAATATGGTGGTTATCCCGTATAGATTTGCATTTTTTGGTCCTGATATTGCTAATTTGAGAAGAAACTTGTTTTGGATTCTGCGACATTAAAAATTGTATGCTTTTCTGATACCATGATATTTACTATATTATAAATGCCTACTGTTTTTATAAATATTTGATTTGAAAAAAAATTTTTTGGCTTTAAAATTCAATCCATCCGATGAAGAATAATTAATGTAGGAGATGCAATTTCAAACTCACCAGTCATGAAATAATGAGTATACTAGTATTAATTCAGTTACGATTAACTCTAACCACAACAAAGCAATATTATTGTCTATTAACAAACTGTTCAATTTACCAGTTCCAGAACTCTAAAATGGAACACGTATAAAGTAGGTTACGAAGAACCTAGTATTATAGACTGTCAAACTAGTAAAAAATTTACATTGATTTTAATGTAATAGCAATACTACACGATTAAGTCATTACGAGTATGAAGTTTAAAATAAAGCTTTATAATCTTTACATATATTGCGTGAAAAGGGCACATTAACTACTGACGACATTGATGTGGAATGTAGAACGATATGAAGTCAAGAACTCTCTAGATATCTGAAGAAAAACTAAAATCAGATTGAGATTTTAAAATGTGTTAATCACAACAAGAAGAAGATTTATTTAAGGATGAATAATAAATCATTTAGATCGAAAAGAATAATTATATAGTAATCAAAGTAGACATAAATTTAAAGAAACTGACTAGTAAAATTAAAAAATAAAAATTTTTGTTTTTTCTAAAAATTCTAGCGTTAACTTCAAAATTTCTTGTTGTACCAATCTTGGTCGTATTGGACTCTTGGACACTTGGACTTTAAAATGTAGCATCCAAATAATTATAACAATTAAGTTTGTTATATATATATTATATTTCTATCATCACAAATTTTAAAAATAAGGTGAGTAGGAAAATTATTTCACAGTTGCGTGGTTAGTTGCATACTCAATACGAGTACAACGATTTAAATATATATATCAGATTTTTTATTATAATATTAGAAAGACTAACTAAAACGAAAACTATTAGAACTATTATGCTTTTAACCTTATCAAAATCTTATATCCACTTCTTTTTAAACTTTTTTCAAGGAGGCACCATCCAATCCATCCGTGGCAAAAGATTAGGAAACTATGTCTCAATTTTAAACCATATATAAACTTTCATATAAACTAAGTTCAGAAAGAGGTGAGTGAGATTATTAGATTATCTTACACAAATTAATTCCAAAGATTTCATTAAATTATAATAGCATTTCGATTTAAGATTCTTTCTCTATAAAATTTCTTTACACTGGATAAAAATTTCCACATATTATTAAAATGGAGTGAAGTTAAGGATACGTGTTGTTTGATTATACACTACTATAGATAATGATTCCTTCGACTTCGTAAATTTTTATAATACACATTTCATTTATAAAAATCTTACTATATATCCTTATCTTATGCAAGTTTCTTTGGTTAACAGTACTATATTAATATATAATATTCATTATTTAATAAAATACCAGGTAGGTGAAACTTCAATTAATTATTATTTATTATATATCTTTAATTCAATGAAATCGTAGATTTTTTTTGAAGAGAGTTTCTCTTTTGGTTATCAACGGATATAATGAATGATTGACTGGTGGAAGGAAGCACATACAATATTTAAAAGCAATTACAATGAAAGCATATAAAAAAATTTATAGTACAAATCTATAATGAAAGTGAGTAGTACATATATGGTATATCGAAATCTTCATATTATGCATATGATTTCTTTTGTATTCCCTAGAAATAACCCCAAAAGAATTACTTTAATTAAAACTCTCAAGTGGATCAAAGTAAATCTGTTGAAATCAATTAAGCATATCACTTGAGATATGTGTAAGAAAATATTAATATATCTGATTTGATGAAAAATTATATTATAACTCATGAATTTCAGATACCTGATGATTTTACAGGATTTATTTAAGCGATCTTTTATGGGATCATTACTTAATTTGTGTTAATTAACTAATTACCATTAGTTTAATTTGATCTTGATAAAAACTTTCAGAAAAATAAATTTAAAATAGATATACGTATATTTGTCAATTGTTTTACTTCGATTTTTATAATATGGTGGTTATCTCGTATAGATTTGCATTTTTAGGTCCTGATATTGCTTATTTGAGAAGAAACTTGTATTGGATTCTGCGACACCAAAAATAGTATGATTTTCTGATACCATGATATTTACTATATTATAATTGTCTACCGTTTTTATAAATATTTAATCTGAAAGAAAGTGTTATTGCTTTAATATTCAATCTATCCGATGAAGAATAATGTAGGAGATGAAATTTTGAGCTCATCACTGATGAAATAATCAACGGCAACCACAGCTAGACAATGTTAATTTTCATGAACAAACTAGTAAACTTGCCAGTAACGAGGTGTGTTATGCTTGAATAATTGAAACCTATAATTGAGATATCTAAAGTAGGTTACGAAGAACCTAGTATTACAGACTGTCAAACGGATGAACACGTGAGTGGAGAACCAAAGACAGCTAAAGATAGTAATGAAAAACTTACATTGATTTGAATATAAAAGTAATGTTTTACCAATAAGTGATTATTAAGTTGAAAATTCCTCTTTATAATTTGTACACAAGTTTTCGAAAAAGGTGGATTAAATACTGACGACGTTGATAAGAGATGTAAAATCATACGATGACAATTAATATCAAGAACAACAACTTAGTATTGAATTGATCAGATATCGGTGCCAATTGGAATTATGTGTTTGCCATAACTTCCACTTCTGAGTCACAGCACCTGGTGTGACAACGCAACTCTATACCGACTGAAAGCAAATAAATACAATCATTCTTCCCGCGTAAATTGTGGTTTTAACCACAGCCGCCGCGACACTGCCAATCTCATATGATTAGGACAGTTGATGCTGTGGGCACTGATCCCCGCGGTACCGGATACATAACTTCAGCCAGGTGACGTAAGTGAAAAATCACTCACTATCAATTACACTCCAAGCAGTGCCGGGATTCTAACCTTAGCTTAAATAACCATTTGAGTTGATTATTTGGAATGCCACTAAACAATTTTACTACAAAACAACTCTATGGAACGTTAAACCATTATCTGGGGTGTGAAGAAAGCAGACAAATGAAGCCATAACTGTATAAAAATTCAGTAAAAAAATTCAGAATCAAACAATATATAGCGTCTGGAACTCCACAATATTTGCTACTGTTTGGTTACACTGCTTATAAGAAAGTGAACTAGAAAATTTAATCGTATCCTAAATCATGACTAATTTTTAATTATACGCATTTTAATTAAGCTGATCTCTTAATCCATAGTTTAAAAATTATTAACATGTGAAGTTTATAAATAATAGAAACCGTTAGAGTTTAGAAAGTCGAGGGGATATATGCTAATGTTTCTAAATTATTCATATCATAATCACCTATATTATACGATAGTTTTTATTTAAAACTAAAATACTGCCTTTTATTTTTAATATAAGTTAAACACATTATCTTTCATAGGCTTAAAATTATTCTAGAACAAGAAGGTATTCTATGACCATTTTTTGTGACAGGCAAATAGTGAGAGGAACGTTACCGCCTTAGCAGCAAAGTCAAAAGCTACTTGACCAATCTATTCCAAATATAGAACCTCTGACTTAATTTGCAGAAGCAAATCAGTGGTATCTAGGTTAATATGTGTCTTTACAGGACACTGGTCGGCATGGAGCTAGACGCGGTCTACCCTATGGTACCTCTTGCAGTGCGTGTCTGCCAGCTCTCGAAGAAATCACACCAGAACACTTGATGTGTCTTTGTCCGGGTCTGGCCAGAACTAGGCTTAAGTTTCTAGGCCAGATTCTTACCTTCGTAAGTGCCCTGGTTCTAGTCTGACCTCTTCCCTACTACCCACTATTACGAGGTGTTTGTGAATTCAAAACGGCTCTTCAGCTAATTGAGATGGATTCGTCCTCCCTTCACCACAACAAACTAACTAACTAAGAAGGTATTAATATTGTTCTCAATTGCTTAAAATTTTTTAAATAAAATTTTTTAAATAATATAAGTTTTCGAAAATTTAGCATTTGAAAATAATTTCCCTGAAGATACTTTCCTGCATTTAAGTGTTGACTTTATTATTATTATACTAATTTTTGTTTCATTTGAAGTAATAAATAAAAATTTTTTGTGCCACTAAAAATGATAAGCAATTTGTTTTTCCCTCGCATTGGGAGTTGCCATTTTCAATCAACAGAGAGGAACCCACATAAATAAAATTGAAAACGTCAAAGACTGAAGTTTGGCAAAATATTTGGAAAGTTCAGAGACATTTATGTACGTGCTTTGACTGTGATTACGTGTCTACAGCAGGAGTACATCACATTGCATACATTAACTGTGAAGGAAAAGCACTTAAAAAGGTTCTCTTTTAAACTGGTACCGATGTTAAGTATTTATATAGCGGGACCACACGAATTTTGTCGATATTCGGTATTTAGATCAATGCAATTTCTATTGCGAAATAATTTAAATTTTGTATGTTTTCATCCTTTTTCAAGAATTAAAGTAAACTACATTTTTTGCTTTCTTAGATACGGCAAGTATCGTATCTTATGTTTTCAACACAATTCAAACGCACGCGTAAAACCATTTGAGATTATTAGTGTTTATTTGAAAGTACACTGAATGTACACTGTATGTACACTGAATGTACACTGTATGTACACTGAGTGTACACTGTATGTACACTGAATGTACAAATATCAAGGAACCGCAACTGAAATGTAAGGCAATGTGGTCGCACATCTTGAAGCAGTTACTCTTATTTAATAATTTAAACGTTGACTGTCAATTCCACCGAATATCCTTTTGCCACGTGTTTGAGTTTCCTTTGTAGATTTGTAACG